GTGTAGAGTGATGGGAAAATTGATGAATGATATACATAAAATACTTAAATGAGTTGCAATTAAAACATCTTTCTCCTTCTAAAAGTGTTTCTTTATCTTTGTTTTCTTCATCGGTACTTTTTTCTCTCCAATTTTTTTTAAGAGTAATATTACCTTTACACCATCTTTTATACTATTTTCATTACATCATGATATAGTATATATCACATCTACACAAAATTTTAATTATTTTAAATTTTTAAAATAATTATTAATAATAATAGTCATGGTGTAATAAAAATGGTATAAAGGGCGGTGTAAATGTAATAATACTCATTTTTTTTTTTTAATTGTTTTCTTTTTCGATTTGACACATGGCTGGTGGGTTTGTTTTTTCTGCTATTTTCCCCACCTTGGGATATAATTTAAGTTGGAAACGTAAGTTGTTAAAAAAATAAAAATTTATAGATAAGACATAAGTTCCAAAGTCCGTCTAGTCAGATATAATTAGGCTTGGTCCAGTTGACGGAACACCTAAGGAAAATGCCTACTATTTGGCAAATGGTCATTATCTTTTAAATCGGAAAAGAAATCATGTATTTTCTTATGAACAAAAGAAGTTATCGAGCAAGCATTTTAACTCGTGCGATTCTTTATTTGGAGCATCGACCTGAATTTTGATCTATATTTAGGCCAGCAAATCTGGTGGCTTCTATAGCAAAAAGATGGAGAATCAATCTAACTGGTCCCTAACTATCTGCAACTCCAATTGCGTTCTAAAGCAACATTGTAGAATATAGAAAGATCATCATAACAAGACACTCTAGAAGTCCCATGGTACAATTCTAGAATTTCCATTCAATAAACCAAAAAAATTCAAAGTCCATTTGTGTGCTATGAAGAAAATTGCCCACCCCCTTACACACGTAAGAAAAGAAAGAGACGTTGTTAAAGACAAGATTCTCCAAGGGGACTTTGGTGCCCCACTTTCACTGAAGAAGCGAATGAGGTTTTGCCACGTAAGAAAGTGTGTGTTGATTTTACCCATTTATATCTTACGTGGCGTTAAATTGGTGGTCCTCCTGGGGGCAAAACGTGGTTCGCAGTCAATCCATGTAATGAGAATCAATTCCTTCCTATTTTATTGGCGGTGTGTGAGATCATGACTTAAGTAGGACCCACATCCACCGAATTACAGGAATCAATTAGCTGCGGGCTGCGGCTTCACCGTATAAATTTTTTATTCTGTTAGGTCTTGATTTCTTGTACTATGAGAATCATATCAGCCACTTAATCTTAGATTCCTCATCGGACGGTCATGGAGCAACATGGGCCTGGCAGCTCCTGGAAGAACCGTTTCTGAACTTGTCTATTAAACCACCTGTAAATTCTAATATAGGGAATGATAGTGTACGGGATAAGTAACGTTATCACCTTGTGCAGCTCTTGGATCATAGATTATTAAAAAAAAAAACACTTTTAAAAAGAAAGATAACGAAGTTTGTGCTTGTGACATGTGACGTCAAAAGGGAGCCTTTGTTACTGTGTGAATGATAAAAGTCAATGTATATACATGTTACGGAATTAAAGTGGATAAAAAACTCAATTACTCATTACTTATTTTTAAGTAACCCAATTTCTATTATGTACTAAGATAAATAATTAAAAAATATTTATCAAATAAATATAGGGTTAACGATTTTTTCCACTCAAATAATGGCTTAATGATAAATTTTTCACTCATAAACTTTTAAAATATCATTTTATTATCTAAATTTATATTTCGATGGCGAATAAAGAGCAAACTTGATCTAGACTATTGTAGTTTTTGAAAAGAGAAGTCTGATAAGTCTTTTGAAGATGAAATATTAGATTTTGATAGTTGTGGTTTATCAGAATTGAACTTGGGAGAGACGATTGTACAAATCTTAATCGTTTGATTGTTGACGATTGGCGAGGTTGATGAGAGTAAAGTTTGAAGGGTTTTAATAAGTGATGATCAGGAAAGAGAATAGTGGTGGTGTGAAATCGAATTAGTTGCCGGAATAAAAAACGAAACATAAATTTGGATAATAAAATTGTATTTTAAAAGTTTGTAGGTGAAAAAATATCATTAAATCATTATTTGAGTGAAAAAAATCTCTTACTCATACATATATTAATTAAATTAAATTGATGTAATTTTTTTAATATTTTAAATTGTTTGGTACGAAAGACATTTTCTTAAAAAAAAAAAAAAGTGATGATAATCATAAAAGTTAAGGTTTCTTTAATCAGTTGAGTCGGCAAAATTATATTGTGTATGAATTAGTATCATGAGCCGACATGGTTCAAATGTTCAGGTATATATGATACACATTACACGCAACGCAACACAATCATGATGATTGCACCACAAACAAAATGATGCATCTTGATCCGGTCACCGTCCCCTCCAAAAATGAATCAAATGATTGACATGACATGTGTGACCTCACACGCATTTTTGAAAATCCCACAAAACAACAGCCGACCCCGACCTTCAACCTGTTCCAACTTGTTGGTTGCGTGTCAGATAATGAGGCTGAGACACTCCTCCTCATCCTCAATACAAGTGGCCAACTGGATTATGCCACGTTCAAACTAAATTCCATGGCCTTCATGCATATCCAATATAAGGTAAAAATTGCAATTAGAGATGACTAATTGCTTTTTGGGGTTTGAAAAAGGATCTATAGTAGTGGCAGTGGGAAATGGAAGTGACGGAAGGAAGCAATGGCATGATTTCTCATCACAGGATAAGGAGATGAGGTGGATATGCTCAGCACCTTTTGAAACTTACGCTATTTTAACATTTTCAGTCGAAATTGGTATATACGTGGACCCATTCCCAATTCTTCGGCATTTTTTGTATATTGATGACTTCATCCATGAAAACGACAACGAATTACTGTAAGTAATTAGTGGATTTTGATCTTAAATTTTTGTTTTTAACCCAATTAATTCTTGGGATCTAGAACACTTTTGGATTAAGACTCTAGACAACACTTTAAATAACGCCTAAGAGTGATTTAAATCCTTATCATCGACCACAAATTAATGGTTTGTATATCTTAAATTTTCCTTGGACGATTTCAATAAACAACAAAACTATTTCCTATAATTAGCGGCGTCATTACTATGTATTGTTAAAATGTATAATATAATGGTAAACTGGTTATATGCTAGTATTTTATTTAATATAAACAAATTGACGTAGGGACATTTATGTTATTATTTATAAGGGATTTTTGTATTTATTATTCTTGAGGGGCGTTATGGTTATAAACCCAATCAATTAATTGATATATGCGGCACTAAGTTATCCTATGTAAAGCAGACTGACGAAATCTTCATAAGACCCGAAAACAATATTAATTTGATTTTAGTTCCATTTTGATTTTAGATCTTTGTTATCTTGGAGTCACATTTTGAATACTAAAACGTTGGGCCATAAAGAGCATTGAATATGATTGTAAACTGCTATAGTCTGACCGACTCAATATTGGACGTGATATTATGTTAGATAGTGATTCTGGTATTAATATAATAATATTTGCTATTTTTCCCATTAGTGATTGTTCATAGATGAGCATGTATTGTTGAGATTAAGTGCCTAACCCAAACAATGTTAAAGGTTTTATTATTAAATAAATTGTTTTTTCTCAGTGGTATGGAGTGAAGTCATGCTGTAATAGCGGCGTTGGGATGTAAATACATCAATACGTCATTCAAAAAGTCTTTGAACAATATTTGGATATTTTGATAATGACGATTAATATATACAAAATATTGATGAACTAATTATTTTAGATGTTGATGGTTCGATTAAAAACTTTTAGTGTATATTCAAAGGTCATAGTTTGAGTTCTTCCTCGGTTAACTAAATAGGCGTTAGCCCTAGAGCTTTTATCCAACCAATAATTTTAGGATTCTAAGAGATTATTGAGATACATAAGTGGACTTAGACACTTCCATTCCTAAAAAAAATAAAAATAAATAAAAAGTAATATAGATGATAATGAAATTATTACCCTGAGAACAAAACATCTATATAATATATATATCTATATATATATTATATACTATAGTATATTAAAATCTCGCGTCGCGAGTATTTTGAATTGTTCTTAATACAAGGTATATTTGAAGGGGTCCGTTTCTGTAACTTAAAACCAATACTGAGTATGTGTGAAATTGTATTGAATATCCCCAACACCAAATCTGAAGAAAACTGGATATTATTTTACTTGTAAAACACAAAAACTGTAATCACACCCGCAGGACCACAAAATATCCAGAAATTTCAAAGTAGAAAAAGTCATTTCAAACTTTAGCGTGCAGGGCATCCCATCGTAAGGGATGCAGGGCCCCGAGCATCTGAGTCTTCCTCTACAAACAAAGTGGGTGTGGATCCCATGCCTCAATGTGACCGCGCCTGGACCATTTCTTTCCGGTTACACTTTCAACTAATTTGGGTAGATTTAGTCAAATTTTCAAGACCTGTTACTGACCAGAGTTTTTCTTTGTTTATATAATATTTGGATGAATTTGATTGGGTGTATTTTAGCAGCCACACTTGAGAAAAATTCATTGGTTATCTCGTAATAACTTAACATCAGAGAGTGACTCCAATATAACAACTTCCCATTTACAATTCCTTGTAAATTAAAATTACGTGGAACTCATGGGGATGTGGCGTGTACCAGAATTATTAGATCAATTTCCTACCAAATAAATTTTAAAAAAGAATGGACGCTGAGATATTATGCTGATTTGTAAAGATACAAAGACTAGAAATTTTTCACATTACTTTGAAAAACATATGCTTTGATTGACCCAACATTTTTTTCCTCTTTTCAACCTAAAATTTGGACGCCTGTCCTGTCCTTTTTGTTAAATAAATAATAAAAAATTAAAAATTAAACGTCAGTGAATAATTACGTAATTTACCCACGGGAGGGAATCCCCTTCATGTAAGCCAAATAAACTCTATAAAAAACATATCAAGAGTTCAAAACCTAGGCTTGAAGACGCCACTCCCCAGCCATCTTCTAAGCTTCCCCTTTTCCAATTCCCCTCTTTCCTTCTTCAAACACAATAATACTAAACACCATGGTCGGATCTTCACTTGACACCCTCAAACCCTCCACCACCATCAAGTTCCTCTGTAGTTACGGCGGCAAGATTCTCCCCCGTTATCCTGATGGTAAACTCCGTTATCTCGGTGGCGAAACCCGCGTCCTTGCCGTTGACCGCTCCATCTCTTTTACTGGTTAGTTCTATATATATATATTTTTTTTGTAATTTTAATTCTCGACATTTTTGCGTTGATTGTTTGCTTTGTTTGTGTTGCATAAGTTTAAAGAGAGTGGTGTACATATATACGTAGTTTGATATAGGGTTAAATTATGGTGTGTGGTTTACAGAGTTGTTGTTGAAGCTTGGAGAGTTGTGTGGAACATCAGTGAGTCTTCGCTGTCAATTGCCGACGGAAGATTTAGACGCTCTGGTTTCGATCACCTCTGATGAGGATCTGGCCAATCTCGTTGAGGAATATGATCGAGTAGCATCACCTCCAGCTTCTTTAAAGATCAGAGCCTTTCTTTCACTGCCAAAATCATCCAAAAAAATCTCATCCTCACCTCCATCATCATCTTCTTCGTCGCCAAAATCATCTACTTACACAGCTTCAACTTCTACCACCAGGTTTACCGTTAACGATAACTGCCTCCGTCATATCCCAGCTCCAGTAGCCTTTCCTCTCCACTATGAAAAATCTGCCGCAAAGAGTACCACTCCTCATCATGCTTATAATTGTGCTCATGGAAACCCTAGCCAGATCTACCTCATTCATAACGGGAACTACTGGCAATAATACTCGGAACTGAGACCAGAAATATGAAGGACATTTTAATTTTTTTTTTTTCAAAAAAGAAAATAGGCAAAGTTGAAAAATATATAATATACAATATATTATATATGTAATGGCATGGGACTGTAAATCTTTAAGGATTGGTTTCTTTTGATGCGTGGCCATTAATGAATTTTCAGTCCAATTTCGTTTTGGATCCAAATTTATGTGATGGTGAGTTTTGTTTCATATATATTTTATTTATTTTGGGATGTATGTTCATTAGTTTGCTCCATTATTGATCAACAGCTTCCATGATCATTCATTTCATTCCACCGTTTAGGATTCCTTCAGGACAGTTCTTGTTCTTGTTCATTGTTGTCCGTTGTGTCAGATTGTGGTTTTATTTATGTGCCACGTTGTATTCCTTATCTCTTTGATTCCACTGTGGCGTAACACATATGAATATATATGTATGTCTTGTCCGTCATCGTTTTGATGCATTTGCGTCGCCTGTTCACCCATTACAATTCTGCGTCCGTCACGCTTTGTCAATGTCCCATATGCCTTTTATCATTTCCATATTTTATCTTTTTAAATTTTTTTTTTTTTCTTTTGATTAACTTATCGTTTAGTACTGTGATTTACATTTTGCAGGCTATGAAGTGAAACTGATTATGGAGGAGCAAGCTTGAGGCTGATGGCCAAAGAATTTCAAGGACTTGGTTTGAAATAAGTCCTTGAAATTCGGGACAGGTAAGTAATTCCTTTTTATATTTCCTCTTCTTTACTCTGTTAGCTTCTCATTATTAGCAAGCAATCCAAAATCTTTTCTTTAATCTATAAATTAATATTTCAAGATCTATATTTATATGTTTGATTGACATCTTCTTTTTGCAATGGGGCATCAATAAATGGTATGAGGTGTATAGGACTTTATTCATCTGACCAATTGCCTCGAGAAATAATGTAATGGGTAAGACTATGCTCATTTGAAGTTAAATATTGATGAGGAATTATTAATGCATAAATGATGATATTTGGTGATGATATTTTATTAAAGCTATGGGGCCATGGCTAAGTGGTTTTCATTTTGACCAGATTGTAGTGATCGAAATGGGCAAGGCAGTGGTAGCTAATTTGGGTTCAAATCTACACAAATAAATCCAAAAAACACAACAGTTGGAGATAGAGAGTGAGGGACCATGCATGTATTTGGGACGGTTTCCTTGATCTCAATATCATTACCAGCTACATCCCATTAATTGAATGTTGAACAAACATGGACTTGAACCTGAACCATAAAGGCGCCCTCCCATGGCCCATGACAGCTGGAGTATGAAGGTTCTGCACTCTATAACAATAAAATAATCCTATAAAAAACACAAAGGAAGTAGAAGCCATTATATAAGTATGATTTTAAAAATAAAAAGTAAAGGATCTCCACTCAAGTAGCATTCAAAATGAGAGGATGAAGATTCCCTTGGAGAGATATAAGTTAATAATATATATATATAGAATAGAAGCCGAAGCCAAAGCCAAAGCCAAACAAGATGATTATTGTTATTTTGTGAAATAAAGAGAAAGTGGTTTAAGGTTGTCCTACCCCACCACCATGTGCCATTTTCTTCATTTCTGTCTTTATAATAAAGAAAAGGATTTAAAGTACGAATATGCCACCCAACCCATTAGAGCATCTGAATTTAAATTAATATCATGGATCCCACGAAGCACCCCGTCCCCGTGTGACATCCGCGTCTGTAACTGGCCTAAAATTGATGGATGCAAATAACAGAATGGGCATTATGGGCAAGCCCACAATTCAGCTGATAGCGATGAAGATTTTATATGGGCTGCTGGGACTCCTTTGAAGAGGACACCTGAAAGTATCACCAACTAGTTAAGAATGTTCATTAAGCCCAGATTTCTGATGAGGTTTATTTCTTTTGCCCATATAAGAGATAATTAAGTTTCAAGCGTTACAGTGATGTTTGATAATTTTAGAGAGGTATTTAATGCTTTTTGAAAATCAGAGGCATATGAAAGTTAACTATTTTTTAGGGTGAATGAAATTAACCCTAAAGAGAATAATAAGAAAATTAAATATTTGATGAAGAGTTGTGGAGTTAGGGAATATTATGTAAAGGAATTATGGTAGATGGATAAGAGTGGTGATATAAGGCTTGAAATACATGGTTGATTCTTGAGCATTATCAGATGGGTATTTTAGATACATATTGTGTTTGCCCTGCCATATAAGCAATCTGTTTGTGGAGCAGTTTCACAGAGAGTAGATATTCTGAATTTGTTCAGAAGTGAGTGAGCTATTAAACTAAACCAACAAATTTGGAGATAGGGAATAAATGAGATGGAGTGGTGATTGATGTGAAATTATGCCTTTAATGGACCTACCAAGCACCAATTGGTTAATTAGTGCAATAATGTTATCTCAATGATGATTTTATATTTATTTGCCAATGGGAATGGATTATTAAACAGATAAGATTAGGATGCGGGAATACTTACAAAATTTGTCTACAAGAAACATATAAGATTTTTTAAATGCCATATTTTTGGAGTTTGCTTTAAGTTTTGACGCAGACAACATTAAGCAGATTTTTGTCGATATTAATTGTGATATATTTAGGATAATTTAGATAGAGGGCAAGCCCACCCGACATTCCTTTCTATGATTCGTTCCAAGATTCACATGGAAGATTGCGAAGCCTTCTACAGTGAGAGTTGAGATACCAACTGGAATCAAAGGGTCCGCTAACAATCAATCTTTGAAAAGCGGTGTCAATTGATGGCAGAAAACTTGAATTAAAACCATTAAATCTGTAAACTAAGCACAGACATGTCTAGCAATTGCTGTCTGCTCAACTCAAAAACATTTCATGTGCTTCAATAGTTCTATTTATTAAAGTAAGTTCAACAAGACATACTTGAGGTTGAGGCAGACGCAGACGCAGAAGCAGACATTAAAATCTCCTTTAAACCTGAATTCAGAAATACAGACTAGTCTAGAGAAATCAAATTCATCTTGTTACTGTAAATTAGACATTACTATTTTGGGCCAGCTTTCTAATGGACAAAAAACTGGAATAAGGGAATTTTGTTATATTCAGGGTTCAGTTTGATCTTAAAACTCGTGAGAGACTAGGGAGAGAAATTCTCATTTACTACCCCTTAGTTTTCTGAAACTTGCCAAGCTTATTCACAAAATATGCTTCAATCATCATTTTCCTTGGTAAAAAATTGAACCAACGGACTATGGATGTTTTACCTTTTTGTCCCTATATTAAGCATTGAACTGGCATTGACTATCGACATCATATTACCTTTAGGGGCGTTTGATTCAAGAATGTTAGATTACTGGGAATGTTGGATTACTGGAAAGACAGATTACCTTGGAAGATTACTGAGAATCTTTAGGAAAATGTGTTTGGTTAGTTGGTGGGTATGTTATATTAATATGTTTGGTTATGGGGAATAAATTGGTGGGTATGTTATTAAAATTACTAAATTGTCCCCGTTTTAAATATTAATATAATATTATTTTTATTATTAATTTTTGAATAATTCTTTTAACCCCCAATGTTTCAGATTTAGCTAAAACACCCCCGCTTATATAAAACTTTAATTTATAACGAAATCACCCCCACCTCCTGCCGCCACCGCGAACCACCGCCAGATGTCTCTGAAAGTCCGCTTGAGTACCTCACCCTGACCAAGAGGCTCCGCTATGGCCGTTTCTGGCCATATTGATGGCCAAAAACGGCCATATCAGGCCAGATCTGGCCATATTGATGGCAAAAAATGGCCATATCAGGCCAGATCTGGCCGTTAACAGCCAGTTCTATCGATAATCTGGCCATTTTCGGCCTGATATGGCCGTTTTCGGCCATCAATATGGTCGAAAACGGCTATATCGAAGCCTCCCACGGAATTTCGTTCCTTTTCAGGGACTCCGATGATTTTTCGGCGACGGTCCGTGGTGGTTGGCCGCTGCCAGCGGTGGTGGCTGGGTGAGTGGTGGTCTGTAAATTATTTTAAATATAAGGGTATTATTGTCCAAAATTTTAATTAACAAGGGTAAAATTGAAATAGAATATTAATGTAAATTTGTTTTAAAGTAGAGGTATTATTGTCCAAAATTTTTATTAATAAGGGATAAAATTGTAACAAAAAAAGATAACCTTGGTAAACTCATAATACCTAAGAAAATGAAGGTAATCAGATTACCTTTCATATTACTAATAGTAACCACTATTGGTATTTAAAGATTACCAGTATCTTATATTACTTGACAACCAAATATGGTAATCAAGTAATATAAGATGACATAACCCTAGTAATCCTACTTAACCCCCAACCAAACGCCCCTTTAATGCTTTTTATACCCTTATTTTTATATATTAGTTAAACAATTTTAAAAATAGTCATATAAAATTACAAAAATACTTTACTAAAGCATGCTAAAGCTTTTAATATCTTAAGGCATGTTTGACATTTCGCATTTTCTTTTAAATTTTTTTTTTTATTTTTTTACCTGTTCTCTCTTTTTCCTCTTTCCAGTATCTTTCTTTATCTTGATAAGTTGATGACAAAACCTGAAAATGGTGGCAAAGATTTATTGAGCCGTAAAAGTAGAAAAAATTTATCCCATGTGGTCCAAATGAAAGTCTCTTAGTGCCAAAGTTAAGGTGGCAACCCACTTGTTTGTGAAAAGTGGTAATGTTTGTGAAAAGTGGTAAGGTGCGTTTGATTAAAGAAATATTATTTTATTAGAAATGTTATATTAATAAAAAATAAATTACTTTGAAGATTATTAAAAATATTTAAGAAAATGTATTTAGTTGATTAGAAATAATTGGTAGGTATTTTATATAAATTACTAAATTATCCTCATTTTAAAATATTAATATAATATTATTTTTATTATTATTTTTTGAATAATTTTTTTAACCCTCTATATTTTAGATTTAGCTAAAACACCCTAACAATAAAAAAAGTTTAAAACTTAACAAAAACATCCCAGCCACCTTCCCAGGATTGCCGGCCATCGGTAATCACCGTTGGTTGCCACTGGCAATCGCCTAAACAGCACACGGCCGGCCAACCATGGATCTGTGATCTATGGTAAAAAATTGTCAGATCTAGTCGTGAAACGGCCATAGATTTGGTTGTTTTCGGCCATAGATCTGCCAGAAACAGCCTTATCGGCGCACAATCGGCCGAATTGAGCCGACCGACCATGCATTGTTCTGGTGACTGTCGACGGTGGTTAGTAGCCGACAATCCTCTTGGGTGGCTAGGGGTGGCTATGATCTTGGGTAATTTGGTTGAAGTACAAGGGTAATTCTATCTTAAATATTTTGAGTATAAGGCTAAAATTGTCTATAAATTTATTGTAAATTGTTTAGATAACAAGGACATTATTGTCCTAAAATTTTATTAATAAAGGGTAAAATTGTAACAAAAATAAGATTACCAAGTAATCTTAAAATACTTAAGAAAATGGAGGTAATCATATTACCTCATATATAATCAACAGTAATTACTATTAGTTTTAGAAGATTACTGGAATCTTATATTATTTGATAACCAAACGTGATAATCAAGTAATATAAGATGACATTGCCTCGGTAATGGAAGATTACTCCCAACCAAACACACACTAAGTGAAAAACAGTTAACTGCGACAAGGCAACACACCAACCCCAACCCCCTTCGTCCACTCAGCTTACACTTGTTTCTATGGGTGTTCAAAAAAATGTAGAAACTGAATCGAACCGGTTTTCTAGTTATCCAAAAAATCGGTTTGGCTTCGGTTCAAGAAATACAAAAATTGATTTTCTAGTTCGGTAACTAGTTTACGAGAATATGGGAATTGGTTAATCGAAACCGGTTTTATAAATCGGTTTATTATAAAAATATAAAATTAAAAAAAAAAAAACCTAAATTGCCTTTTCATTCTCTCTTCTAATCCATGAATCTTCGTTCTCCACATTAGAGGCAAGCAGCTTTTAGTTCTTCGTCGTTCTTTGTTCTCACCTCCGGTAGTAGCTTCGTCATTATTCATTCTCACTTCCGACAGTAGCTTCGTTGTTCCTTCTCTGTTCCTTCTTCGTTCTCACCTTCGGTAGCAGCTTCATCTACCTCCTTTTCCGT